GAGCACCTTAGTTCCCCTGACAGTGTGTAGTAACCATTGGATGCCTACCAGTAGGGGCTGACTGTCTGGTATACCAGCCAAGGGTTGATCTCGTCTCTTCTCTATCCTGCTCTCTCTCGCCAGCCGAGGAGATCTCCTCTGTGTGTATCTGAAAAAGACAGGAGACCTGCAAAACTCGGTGAACTGTGACAGCCAGCACGCAACGTCAGCACACTGACACACCGACTGATAGCCCGTGACCTAGAGGCCCGGCGAGTTGCCGGCGTGAACGAGCCTTCCCCGCCGCCCCGATACTTGTGTGTGTGAGGGACAGGAACAAGTGGAGGCGGAATGGACGAGGAGTTTTTCACTAAACGCTTTGTCGAGTGCGTCAAGAAACTGCACGAGGATAGAGATGACCAGGTACTGTATTGTACATAATAATAGCTATAGCTACAATCGTAGTTTTAGTGGGCACGTGTTTATATGAGCACGGTGGTGCCCAACTGGGCCTATATGTGCCCTCACAGAGCCAGTACAATCTTGTAGCACTAAGTGAAGTAGGGTGTAGTGGTCAATCTGCAGCAATGTTTCCTTGCCAGGGAGCACAATCAAAAGGATGTAGCCATGATGCATGGTATATAGTCTGTGGCTTCTGGCGTGTTTGTACGGAAGGCTGTCACAAAGAGTAGTTCCGACAATCAGTTGCCACCATACAGTAAAGTGTATACCAACTCAAAGGTGGGGTGTCCCTAAATTACGCAACTATTATTGGGAGACATGGCGGTTGGCTTCTTTCCTTCACTTTCTTTTGTACAGTGGAAATTACTGTAGTTCGTAAACCAGGTTTGAACAGACAATGGCGGCATATCCACACTATACACAACTGTAGTACACATGTCCTCTGTATAATGTACACATATCCTGTGAATTGATGTTGTTGTGGCCTGATCAAATGCACACAACTTGTAAACAGCACTCTGTGGCTAGGATCCAGCCCATAACATGATACAGTAACACCTGCATTCGTGTTTACCACTACTGCTGTTGTGAATAATTATATCGTGTATATATAGCTGGTTGAGAGATATGCGGAGCATCTGCAGTCAACAGCTTGTTTGCCTGTACGAGACATTAGGACGGATTAACCGACAAGCGGTTCATGATTCTTGTTTAGTAGCTATGTGTATATGCAGCCGAGACTCTGCAGGTGAATAGCACTCTTCTGTAATTATTGCTGCTAGTGATCGGAGTCTTACTTCGTCCCCTTGTTTGTCTATAGTTTTTTTGTACACTCTGTTTTTAGCTTGTTTGCCACTGAAATGTCTATTGTATGGACCCTGTGGTGTGAACGTGGGGACTGTTGCAGTCTCGTTGTATCCCGTGTGAAACACCAGCTTCTGGCCTTCTCTGTTACAGCAGTGCAGGAGTATATGGAGTGACCTATAGGCGCCCTGACCCTACTATTGTTGTTTCTGTGCTTCCTGTTTACACCGCAGTGACTCATGCATGTGCACTTGCATGTGCAGTCTGATTAGTGACTGGATGGTGGGAAATACTGTCTAGGTCCCTGCAACCCTCGGCGTGCATGTGTGCAGTGAGGGTTGTGGTACTTTGTTTGTTAACCCTCGGCGCGCATGTGCAGTGAGGGTTGTGGTACTTTGTTTGTTAACCCTCGGCGTGCATGCACTGTGAGGGTTGTGGTACTTTGTTTGTTTGTGTGTGTGTCCGTCTGCTATGATAACGGTCCTAGCACTCACCAGCTTGATTTGAGTTTGATAATTTGCATAAGAATACTGGGTTCAAAGTGTGAAAACCAAGTTAACGAGCCAATGCTAATTAGCACTGGCTTGCCATGACCAGATTGCGCACAGTACAGTAGATCGATACATTAGAGGTACATGTTCCTGCATACTGTACACTCCAACTGTGGTGTACAATGCACACATTATAGAAGCCTAGTATATGGCAACATTTCCATAGAAGTCCTGGAGTGAAACTCATCACGACCATTGTGTCCTCGAAACCTGTGTCTCATGTGGCTACAACTGGAGTGAAATTTAGAGTTCGTGTGTATCCATTATGACTCCCTACATGGGTATATAAATGTACACAGTCCACTATAATAATACTGTACTCATTATCAGAGGTGTATAGTAGGGGTTCCTGATGTTTCTCTAAGAAGAGAAGTGACCACACAGTTGGCTTTACTCTCTCCCTCGCTCTCCCTCCATCTCGTTCTACTCTTCTTTTGTGGCCCCGTGCCCAGAAGTTCTTTGGCTGCTCAAAGTTGCAATGTTGTTTACTGGACTAGTGGAAGTCGTATGCTCTGTTCGTGGAGGCCGGCAGGCTAGCCCCCCTGCTGTTGTTTATAGTCGTTGCCCAGGTTACGTGCTACAGATAGGGTACTTGTGCTTGTGTGCAAACAAAGGATTCTCTGTAGAGGGAGGGGCACAAGTGTAGAAATTGAGCAATTGTAGTTTCTCACCACTCACGGTGTGCAGTGTGTGTGTGTGCCTGCAGTGTGTGTGCAGGGTGCCTGCAGTGTGTGCAGTGTGTGTGTGTGCCTGCAGTGTGTGTGTGTGTGTGTGTGTGCCTGCAGTGTGTGTGTGTGTGTAAAATGATGTGCTTAGTACAATCAGCCTCTTTTGCAAGTGTTGCTGCATATAAAGTGTCAAGCAAGTGGATGTTGGTAGAGCGCTCGCCTAGACTGCAGAGTGTCGTGGGTTCGAATCCCCCCCCTAGCCCCTTAGTGTAGCTCTTCTTTTTTCCTTCTTTTTTCCTTGGAAAAAATAGCTTTCCTGGGTGTAGTTGACTTGTTTGTTGTGTCTTTGCCTTTCTCGTATATATTTCATACAAGCAAAGTATGGTTTTTATTTGAACCAACCACACTCTGCTCAGTTTTCACACTGCAAAAAATGTGTTTTCATTCGTTCTTGTATGCTCTACAAAAAGCAGCTTAGTTTACACTCTGGCACATTAACTACACTGTAGATGCACTCGCTCATACTCACATGCCCAGTTTAACGTTATATTAGTCCCAGCACACGTTTTTATGCACTACTATTAGTAATTATTCTATGTTACGTTGTATGTATGCACAAATATGGTCAATAGTGTACATGTAATAAATTGTCCCTAAGAAGGTGTTTGGTAGAGGAGATCAAAGAGGTATCGTGTCCCAGTGACTCTCAGGCAAAGGACCTCTGCCACCTCCACACTCACTCACTCTCTCAATGGATGAAAGACTCTCTAGATTTGTACGCTGCTTTTCAGGGCTGGGAATGAAATGAGGTGCGCATCATAGGCTTGAGGGCAGTGTGTAGTTAGTAGGTCTATACGTATATGCGTGTGGGTGTGTGTGTGTATTGTTCAGTTGCCTTCTATCACTGCCAACTTTTGAACAGGCCGATAAACATTAATGTCTCCTACACTTGAATGTGGTGTGTAGATCTGTACAGTGGTATGTACATTGACGTGTAAATTATAGTGTATAGTTCACATGTTATTGTGCATGGGCTTTTGTTGTGTGTGACTATACATACATAGTACATATATACACATACATACAAACACCTTTTATTAGCAGATACATAAAGTATGGCACATGTGAGCCTCTCCCACTGATTGCATGAATTAGGTGCAAATAGGGACAAAGGACCGTTCTAGGCTTATACATTGTTCAGTTATACATGCATGCAATGAGGCTGTGTAATGTCTTCATTAGTTGTGGTGTGGCTGCTGTATTGGAATGTCTGGAATGTGTTTAGATTTGGTTATAATGGTGTGACACATGGGCATGATTCTTCTAACTACATATTTGAATATGGAGACTTGGTACACAGTGTGCTGTGTGTATATACACATTACTCGGTTGGTTAAGTTTTGAACACTGTGTTTTGTGTGTATTAGCTTCACTTTCTATGACATTTACCATTGTATGTATGTATATATCTCCTGACACGATTTCTGTTTTCACATTGACGAGATCGATATTTTACTAAACGTGCTGGGTGCACTATATTTACACTGACATTAGAGCGCAGTAGACGCTCTATATAAGGATGGCACTGGTCGAATCTCACCTGATCCACGTACAAAACACCTCAAAACTCGGCGAGAATGACGCATAATTATATGCCTTCAAAAATAACTAGCAATAATCTACAGGCTGCAAGACGGAAGATGTTACAATTCCATACTCCAACTGTAGTCAAAGTATTTAGGGACAGTTGGTTTGTCTCTTTTTCCACTCTTGTGCCAACAAAAAATGTAATATATTATTGTTGACACCTTATTTGGGGGTACACTAAAATTTGAGCGAGATAGGGATAGGTGCAGCGAGATATAGGATGTTACCATTCCAAACTCCAACTGTAGTCAAAGTATTAAGGATAGTTGGTTTGCCTTTTTTTTCCCACTCATGTGCCTATGGCAAATGCAAACTCGTTGACACCCTTATTTAGGGTTTGCCATTCCAAACTCCAACTGTAGTCAAAGTATTAACGATAGTTGGTTTGTATCTTTTTCCACCCATGCATGTGCCTACAACAAATGCAATATTGTTGACACCCTTATTTAGGGGATAGCGAAATTTGGGCGAGATAGGGATAAGTGAGGCAAGATAGCAGATGATACCATTCCATACTCCAACTCTAGTCAAAGTATTTAGGGTAGTTGGTTGGTCTCTTTTTCAACCCTTGTGCCTACAAAAATTGCAAAATTGTTGACACCTTTATTTGAATGGACAGCGAAATTTAGTCGGGATGGGGATATATATGCAGCAAGATAGAAGAAGATGCTAACGTTCCATACGTCAACCAGGTTTAGCCCTCTCAGCCTGTAGTGGAGGGATGTGTGTACAGTCCAGTGTTGCTCTAACCACTCGCTACCCACTGATGCAGCTAGCCTGTGTTAGGGCGATAAACTGGGCTCAGTCGACGACGCATGGCCCAGCCCATCTAGCTTATATCAACGCTACAACACGCGGATTTTGGGCCGAGGTTTTGCTTTTCGTATAACCGGCAATCATTCGTATGAAGTTTATGTAGTGTGTCATGCATGAACATCAAGAGACAAGAGGACGACATTAACTACATGCGTACATCCAGGACAACGAAAGGATATGAATTTTTGTAGTGTTCATTGTTCACTCCACCCATTGAGTGCTATGGCTGCTGTCTAAGTGCTACATTTCCATCATCTAAGTACTAAAGGAATGCAATGCATTGTTGGCGAGCGAGTGCGAGCAGTTCAATATTTTGCACATGTTTTGAGCGTATTTTTAATCACGTAGAACATTACGGTAGTGACAGCGCCCGACCATTAGTTATAAACATAATATAGAAAATTACCACATTTAAACAACTTGGTAGGCTTGCTTCTCCTGCCAACAATTGATACTATGCATGATTGTATAGTATACGTTGCATCAAAACTTCTTAATTGTAACTGTGTGTGTCAATCAGTACATTATGCATGTAGTATATAGTACAATGCTGTGTATCGGTCATCATGTAGTATTGGCTGAGAAACTTCCTCTGCCAGCTATAGTAGTCTGAGGAAGTGGATGGCCTCATGTACAGGAGGTTGATGTTTGGGAGGTGGGTGTTTGTGTGAGCAGGCGTGCCAAACTCTCTTCCTGGTATGACATGTGCAGGAGGCTGTGGTGTACATGTGCTTCTCTTCAGAGTTGACACATTTGTACTTTGTACGGCTGTGACTCTCTTTGAAGAGTACCTCCAGCTTATTATACAGTGCATTACGATAAGTATGCATAGCACTTAAACTTAGTAGCTTCCAGGAAGAGGTGCAGTTGTATTTTTAGCTCTGAATAAGTTATACAGCTTTCCTTACCAGTCCTGCTACAGTAGGAACACACAAGTAGTTGATTCACGTTGTGACTATAACACTTCATGACAATATTCCCAATAGAAAAACAAACCAAGTGTTTGTCGACTGAAATGATTTCAGGTATTTACTGTTGTGGTGTTATCATTGGGAAGTGACTACATATATATGTATACGCTCTTGCTTGATGCGGACTTGCTACTGCTAGGTAGTGTTTCTGCCATCGCAGGACTCAACACTCGCCCTCTACTGTATGGTATACTTCCATGGTACACAGCAGTTACTACTACAATTTAAACAATACTTATATTATACTCACAATACTAGAGGAATGCAACGCATTTTTTGGCTAGCGAAGCGAGCATTTTAGCATGTATTTAGAATTACATAAACCTTATGCTGCATGTTGGTCCGTGGGTCCGTGGGTCTGTTCACCGTTACAGATGTACAAATATGGAAAATTCTGCATTCAGACGTTTAGTTGGGCTAGCTTCGCTCACCAATAACAAATTCTCTATGCCTATTGTTTTGTAGCTGCAGCATATTTTATCTTTTCACTCTGTGTTTCTCTTGCTATTGGGGGATGTACTACATAGACAGTGTGTTCTGGGAAGTCTGTTATTCTCCTACTGCTCATATTACATACCATCTCAAGTTACCTACCTATAGCATTCACCACCAACTGAGTAATCCCATCCACCTTTGGGGCTTTTTCCCTCGATGTGAAATCAATGCAGAGCACATAATTGTGTACACTGTACATGTGTACAGTAATTGGGAAAGTGAAGTGAACCCAGCACAAGTGTTCTACATGTCCATGCATAAGCCAGCTTTCCTAAGTAGCATGGCCAGCCTGTGTAGTGCCGAATGTATTTATAATGTACTGTGTGTGTTAAACATTGTGTTTCTGGAATTCCAGGCATTTGGCAATTCCATCGTAATGTCACAGCCAGCCGTGTGCATGCTACTGTACTGACCTTGGCTGAATTTAATATGCATTCCCTTCGAGTATAGTGCATGATTATTAACCCTCGGCGCGCATGCGCAGCGAGGGTTACGGTAGTGGGTCTGTCTGTCTGTGTGTTACTCTACATCTCACTTCTCGGGTTTTGTTCATCTCACAAAGGATACGATCTACTTAACGGGCAACGAAGGTCAGAAAATATGTGGGGTTTTCTCTGAAAATGCTCCGTTGCAGAGCTACAGCGCCAGTTTGCAAATACACAACGGACGGGATGGCTTACCACGGTCTGATCGATCCGCGTGCTCTGCGTACCTCGGAGGCACCAGAGAAGATGCAATGCAGGGCGTGAATCACCTCTCGCATGCTACTAGTAGTGTAGTTAGCCCGCGTCAGATTCTGCGCGAACTGGCAAGAGACCACGAGTAACAGCTAAAACTAAACCCAGCCCATCAATTAGTGGTACGGCGCATGCGTTTACTTACGCGTGCGCGTCACAGTGCGCCGAGGGTTTGCACTTCAGTGCTTTTCATTTATTGTGCAATGGTACTGCACTGCTCCTCGTGTGTGCAGCGAGGGTTACAGCACTCAGTCTATAGTTCACCAGTCAGTTGTTTGAAATACACTCCCTCAGTGCTCATGGGGGGGGGGGGGTGACCTTTGTTTCATGTGGCAAAATTGCTTAAAATCCACAAAGAGCTTCGTCTCTTTGTGCTTGGGTGAGTGTTTGTTTTCTTATGCCCTCACGTTTTTTGTGTTTTGTTGGGACACTCTGTTATTGTTTGGGAATCAAATCTACACAGATGTTGTGGTACATACCGTGCTATGCTGCCAGTAACATGTGCATACTGAGTGACAGTATACTGTGCCATAGCACGGTGGGTTTGAACCCCTACCAGCTGAGTTTCCCTGGTAGCTCCTAGACTGCAGAGTGTCGTGGGTTCGAATCCCACCCATGGCAGCTCTTCTTCTTTTCTTTGAAAAGAAAGAGCTGTCCTGGGTGTAGTTAACTCTTTTGCCTTGCCTTGCCTTTCTACCTCGCTACCAACTAAGTTGTTGAGACATACACAAACGTTCAGAGAGACCAGTAGGATGACTACTGTTTCATATTCAGATCTTCTGTTCTTAAACATGCATGGTAGAGGGTTCTGTTTGTTTGTTGCTGTGTTGTGAACCATTTGATAGACCTCCTCCTGTGTGTCCAACACATGATAGTCGTACAGCTGATAACGTAGTACAATGTACAATACGGTCTCCAGTGTTGGTGTCGCACTGAGGTGGGATGTGTGTGTGTGCACAGTTTGGCAGCTTAGATTAAGAGAAGCCCCGTAATGAATAGTAATTACGGCTCGAGTTTTGGGCCGAGCTCACGACCTCACCACTACCGCTCAGGTCGTCTTGCATATAAGCTGCTACAAAATACAACTGAAAATGGTAAAAGATTAAGATATTTGTCCCCTGCAGGATGTGGACTACATTTGTCATGTTCTCAAGAATCTCATAGAGTTCAGTGGTTACGATGCCCCCACCCTCAGGTACGTTCAGTGTTGTGCTGTAGAGTTTCATGGAGTAACACACTGGTTTAACCAAACTACACAGTTTTAACATACAAAATCATACTGTTGAGTAATAGTATGGGAAATGTACACATGTCAGCGAGTGTTGCGAATGTCTCGTTGCTGGTTATTTCGAAGCGCATGGTTAGCTCACCAAAAATGAAAGGGGTTCAGCAAGCAGTAAATAGTTGTCCTAAGGTATGTGGGGTCGTTGAGAGATATTAATAACTTGTTAATGAGGGAGATTTCTCCACTTTTACTTTTGTAAAACTACACGTACATATATAAGTATGATACACACAATAGGATGCTCATGTCATGAGTACAGTATAACTTGTTAGTTAGTAATTTCTGACTCAATCTCATGTGTGTGTGTTTGCAGATCAGTGTCTCAGAGACTGTCATACGAAGCCTACGCAGAGGACACTGTTATATACAGGTATGTATATACTGTATGTATAGTATATACTGACGTATACATTCACTCCCTGGACAAGTGTATTGTATCACCACCATCAAGCATGCAATGTATGCCAAGAATGTTGGATCATGGCTAATTTCAAACCTTGCTGTTTCCTTAGTCATTAGTCCTGCATCGTCACGTACGTAGTATCCCAGATTACGTTCAGATTCTGTACCCTATAGACAGTTCCTTCCTGAATGTTTTATGAGTCACCATAATACGGCAAGAATATAGTCTGGAACATGGCTCGTCCGCAACATTAGTAGAAACATTGTACTCTGTACCCGAGCCCATTCTTGTCTTATTGAATTTCCTACTGCTGAGTACCTTGTGTACAGCATGTTGTCATCAAATGTGCTGGGGTGGCACTATGGTGAATAGTAAGCAGGAAAGCCTTGCTTTGTTGACCACCCACCACTCTGCCTGACCCTCTTGCCTCTTCCTGTTTTCCTCACATGGACCCTCTTTCATAAACAGCTGACAGATGTGTGTGTATGAGTTATACCTAACAGCTGACACTTTAAGATTATTGGCAAGGGAAGCATCTGCATTGCGATAGCTTTCTGTTACTATCCATACTAATAAATGTGTTGCATTTAGTTGAACTTACAGCATGTGTATACATACATACATACAAAGATTACAGCATAGTTTTGTACGTGTCCTACACCTCATATGCATGTCGTGAGTTGGAGTCCCACGACCCAGGGCAGCTAGTGTTTTCCTGGATGTCGTGTTGGCTCTGTACTTGTGTAGTTTCATACCTCACTTTTAGGATTCATCATGAGTACCTAGAGCGAGTGCTGTTCTCTTTGCTCGTACATTGCTGCATCACTTGATTTGTTTGTTGTGCTTTTGCTCTTTCTATATACCTCGTAGTTCGCATACTAGCTAGTAACATTGAGCCTCACTGTACATATCCACAGGGAAGGAGACTCTTTGACCTGCTGGTACTACATACTCTCGGGGAGTGTCATGATCTCCAACAACTACTACTATCCCTCAGGAAGCAGGTGCAGTATAACAATCAGGAAACTATGTAATATACATCAGTACTTGGTAGCCTTCCCTTGAAACCATTCCGACCAGTTCCCATTGGAGCATTCTGTGAATTACTCTTTGGTTGACGTTACTAGGCAACCACTATATATATATACAGTATATACATGTATGTGTCATGCTACATGTGCTCAAAGTGACTAAGCAGCCGAGGCATGTAATCAACAATTAGCTTATAGTGACATGTAGTAACTTCAACCAATATTGGTTGAGCTGTGGCTGAATTCACCCTTAGCTATGACTATTACCATCTGGTCTCGCTGCATCTCAGTCATGTACATATACATACATATACTTTTGTGTGTGATAGTCCCTCATCTCACACCCTGCTCTTTTTTCCACCTTTGACTTCGTCCCTCCCGCCTCTCCCTCCCTCCCTCCCTCCCTCCCTCTCTCCCTCCCTCCCTCCCTCCCTCCTCTCCCTCCCTCCATCAGTTTCGGCCAGTGTATACTGACCAATGTCCGAGATGATAAGTGTATCATTGCAGAGTCCACCGAGCTCCTAAGAGTAAGAGATTCCTTTGTCTTCGTTGTGTTACACATCACACATACAGTGTGTGTGTACTAGCTCAGGGTATTTTTACAAAGTTTAGTATTGACATGGGATTGAATATATGTACAAGAGTGTGAATGGCACTGAGTGGGGCCCTTGCCCGTTTGCAGACCTTGCTCTATCAGTTGGTACTTTTAAGGTTGAAGGCCCCTCTACCTAATGTACAGCTTTATGCATTTTACATGTTCGTACGTGTGTCTATACTGTGTGTCAATAGTCGTGGATACAACGCTCACTGATTGCTTCTTTTGCCGTAAAAATAGTCCCATCAAATAGGATTCGCAGAGACTGACCATTCACTTCTTGCTCTGGTTAAACTATTAAGTGTCCTCGAAAGTTTCCTATGTGTGTATAACGTACGTACTGTACACTATGTACAGTATGTAGCAGAGGTTCAGTAGTGTGATGTGTGTGGTGTATTGCTGTGTGTATGTGTAGATTGACTATACGGAAGAGGAGCTGAGGAGAGCTGTCAAGATAGCCACCATGTCCAAGTTCACTGCCTCCACGGGCTCCCAGGACTTCACTCGAGCCTCTCACACTCGCTGTGAGTCCTCTACTGCACACCACGCACACTGACACATGTAATGTCTTGCTGTGAGCCCTCTACTGCACACCACGCACACTGACACATGTAATGTCTTGCTGTGAGCCCTCTGCTGTGAGCCCTCTACTGCACACCATGCACACTGACACATGTAATGTCTTGCTGTGAGCCCTCTACTGCACACCACGCACACTGACACATGTATGTCTTGCTGTGTCCAGCACGTTGTAGATGTATGCTTTAGATAAAGCATGTCATTGAGAGTGGTTGCCATTTGAACCTGTGCGTATATAAAACAGGTTATGTTTATCACACAAACACATGTGAGAGTGATATATACATTCTATAGTAGGGCCACTTTAATTAACATGTAAATAAGAAAAAGGACAAGATGTACATTTACAAGGGCGTAGCTTGTATGTACATCTGTGAGCGGTTACACAGTGGAATGATGTTACACTGTACCTCTACTCTGTGCATTTTTCCAGAGCCTAGAGAACACACCTGTAAGGTGTAGTAGTGTAGCGGGTAAAGTGTACTTTTGCGTGATGCGGTCAGTTAGGGAGAATGTTAACCACACTAGTCCATTAGGTGCCAGAGGTCAGGTGCTCCTGAAAGACAGTGCCAGAGCTGCAATGGCATTGAGGGGGTGTGGAATATCGTGTAATGAAGGGGGGCATTTGGGGAACAATAGATGGTTGCCTTCCTTGAGTCTACACAGAGTTCCAGCAAGGCAATGGAACTCAACACACCCAGTACAATGCACAGACGGTGGCATGCTGGCTGTGTTACGTAACTTGCAATGTGTTGATCCACACATCAGGCCGCGTGCCCCTCCCACCTTCCACTGCCTTGAGAACCAGGCGTAAAGGCCAAGTTGTGAATGATGTGTCAAATAATACGTAAATGGCTTGCCATAATTAATCGGAGTCCTATTACGTATGTGGTTGCCTAGTCCAAGGTAATTTAGTCGCATTCTAAAAAAGTGTGTAGGTTTCGAGAATAGTTTTACAATTTAACATAATCACTAGCCTCGAATAGTCTACACGTTGAATGGAGAAACAGTATATGGCATTTCCCCATTTCCATGTCCTGTTTCTCCATATTCTAATGCTGTTTGAAGGTTGAACAGTGAACATGATTTCTATATACTGTGTATATTGACAACCCCAACCGTATAAGTTACGTTTCTCACCATACAGTACAGCTATACACCTCCTACTGTCTCTCTCCTTATTCTCCTCAGCCTCTGCCAAAGCTGCTCCCCCCAGCATTCTCCCCGACCTACAAGTTGCCCCTGCTCGTCAGAAGGAGATTAAGAAGCCGACGGCGGATGCTGAGCTCAACATGTTGAACCCTGGCTCAGCTGGCCATCACTCTCGCAGCCGCAGCGAAGAGAGGTACATATATACAATAATATCGTACCACCACCACTACTGTATAGGGTGTATACACGTAACATATCCTTGTGATGTGGATTGCAAATTTATAAAGACCAGTCAACAAAGAGTGCAGTACATGTGTTACATACATACATACATATGTGCTATACAGATTATGCTGTGTTAGGGCTCTGATGCATTTTCATCTCTCATACTGGCTTCTTTTAACATTACCTGGTAATCAATTTGCTCATAATAAGATTACAAGAAGATTAATTTTCCAATACAGATCATGCTAGCCATTTTGTCATTAAACTGCTATTCAATTAATTTGTGGATGTTTGTAGGTCGATATTTACGTTTGATGCTGCGGATGTGATGAAGAGCATCAGTCAGGAGAACCTGGCAAAGGCTAGGATGAGAGGTGGTGTAAGCAGTACTGAGATCAGAGTGACTCGTAGATATCATCATGACAGGGACAACAGGTAATGAAATGAGAGGGGAGGGAGCTTACTAGAGGAATGAAATGCATTGTTGGCGAGCGAGAGCAAGCAGTTCAATATTTCACGCGTGTTTTGCGCGTATTTAGAACATTACCAGTCCCTGACAGAGCCGTCTATATAATAGAAAAATTCCCACATTGAAACGACTAGGTAGGCTTGCTTCGCTCGCTGATTATGTGTGTTCATAGCTCTGATATGCTTGCTATTGTGAGGAATTTACGTTTGTGTCTGTCAGCAATTGGGACTACATTGAGTAATGGTCGCTCCCTCTCCCATGTCTGTACATGAGTGTGTGTCGGTTGCCAAGAAAATCCCAGCTTCCCATTATGACGTGTACACTACACTACATATATACATAAGTACATACATTCTCTTTACACTATTGATACGTATGTACACTTGCATGTCAATAAGCACTCGTTTACATTTCATGTGCATGATCAATTTCTAGTGTGCTATATAGCTGTGTGTATAGTGCTAGTATGAAACATGTTGTATTTGTAACCATTACTGTATGGGGAGCAGCATAACTAGCAGCAAAGATTGTGGTTTGACTGGGGTTTCATCATCATGAATGTGCATTAATCAGTGCCACAAAGTCCCCTTCTTTCTAGACTGCCATGTGTATGTATATATAATAACCATGTTCTCTGTACATGTGTGTAAACATGATGTGTGTGTGTGTGTGTGTGTGTGTGTGGTGCAGACATAGGTTCAGTGCCCCTCCTGGTCCAGACCGGAGCAGTGGTGTGGGGATCAGGGACTCTGTCGGCTCCATGGACTACCTCTCTGAGAGTCAGGTGGACTCTGACGACGAGGAGTCTGCTCAGTCCGAGGTAACACACTGCCTTCCTCTGGATGATCAAGTAGCTTGAACCATGGGCTCTATGGTATAGTAGGTCGGTTTGCTTCTTTTGCGGTGTGGATATCAGTAGGCCTTCCCCCTGCAGTGAATCTGTAAATAGAATGTGTGCTACTTGTAAAATTGTTGTGTTCAAGTTGCCTTGAGGTGTTTCAGAGCATGCGCAGAACATTATTTTTTGCACATTTCTAATGTATGATAGTGGAATGAGGGGAAAACCTGTTGTGAATCTCTATATATATTATGGTTGGCGGAAAACAAACTTGCACCGGCCATATTCACACACACACACTGTTGGTCAATTCCACCGTTTTTATGCTCTCTCACATTTTTTGTAGTGGATAGGGCTGAATACATATAATACGTATAATTTAGCTTCTGCAGGTAGTGTAGATAAAGATGAGAGAAACAGCGACAGAGGGTGCCTATTTACATGGGCGAAAACTACATGCAGTGTGTGCGTATCACCTTACCTTTTCCGTGTGAGCCCAAAATGCAATGAGGGCCACAGTACCCCTCCATGGTTCCTACCCTATTATTATGTATTAATTCAGGGTGTGTGACAGCGTATTGCTGTTGTAATCTATCTATGGAGGTGAATGACTGTGTGTGTGGTATGTCAATGTAGACATCCAGTTCTCCCAGTATGGACGGAGTTTTGGAGGTGTTGTCGAAATCACCAGATGACAGGACAGAGGAGGATATTGGTGAGTGGGCCACTGAGAGGAGAGGCTAGGAGAGGGAGGGAGAGAGGGAGGATGAGATGGGAATGGGAGAAGGGAGAGAGAGAGTGGAGGAAACAGGATGTTGGTTAGGAGCACCTCTACAAACTGCTGATTGGCGAGCGAAACCTCACCTATGCCTAGTCGTTTCGATGCAGTTATAATATTTATATGCGGCAGGTCTGTCAGGCACTGCACATGTTCCACGTGATTCTAAAGACGTGCACGAAATATGGACTGCTCGTGCTCGCTCGCCAACAATACGTTGCACTTCTGTAGTAAAAAGGGTTTTGTACCATGTGGTTTCTAAGGGTATGGATACAGTGTGCGTGTTTCATGCCTTCCTGAAGTTGAATGTAGTAAGATGTTTGTAAAGGAAGGAGGGTTTTTGTGGCAGGCCTCAGATCACGTATTCCTTGTTCTCTCTGTAATTGTTTATTTACCCAGGTTGTAATTGGCCTAGTGAGGAGTAATTGCTGGAGGGAGGGCCAGGGACTAATTTGGGAGATTATAAGGGAGGGGGGTACTAGGCTAACATACTCTACTGTAGGAAGAAGTAGTGAAGTATACATGTCCACTAATGCAACTCTCTAATTGTCTCTTACAGAGAGAGTCATGGACATCCTGCAGTATATCCCAGTGAGTGTCGTGTAGCCATACATGTGCTTGTATTACGTTCAGTACGAGTCTTTGACCCACACTGAGAGTGCAGTATATACACTCTGGGGTTTGCTCTTGTGTTGTGTGGGTGTTGTTATATCCGTGCCTGCTGTGTATTTCCTCTCCTCTTTCCGATGAGTGTGCTTTGTAGCTCAGTAGGAGGAGCACTCCACCTATCATTATACAGAGCAGAGTATTGTGGGTTTGAATTTCACCTAATGTATATGGGACGGCTTTTTCCCTTGCTGTGAGTTGTGGTTCAATATAATTATCTGTAACTGCAGGTGTTTTCGAACATGACGTCCAACATCAGGAAGGCCTTGTTCAGGAGTCTGATGGCTCAGATTATTGAGAATGAGAATGTGGTCATCATTGACAATGGAGAGGAGGTGAGTTACCATCTATATACTGTCATCCACCATTACAAAATGCAGGGTGGGTGGGGCACAAGGAGAGTAAAGCTGATTGGCTCTAGGCAATTAATCCTGCTTTTTATATCAGACATACATGTCACGCTCAGGAAGACATGCGTACAATAGGAATGGAATAATTGTGCTAGTTTTACCAGGGACAAAGGGAAAGATTAATGTAGGTGGTTGGTTATTTAAAGAGATTGGCCTCTCCATGAACCTCTTCAAGCTATGCGTACGTACAATATTATGTATATCACTAAGTACGGTAGTATGTACTTAGTATGTATATAAGGGATGACACAGGTTGTCCTGCGCTATGCCCATACGTTTGAGATTTTTATGTCTGAATAATATAATCAGTGGATGCTCCACGGTATTGTTAGGTGACGAGATGGTATGTGGTGTTGAATGGGCAGCTGAAACTCATCAGAGAGAGAGAAGGAGACAGAGTCTTCCAGGCCGGAGACTCGTGAGCTCCTCCTCGCTACACTTGTCCCATTTCTTGTATCTCTATTCACCTCACCATTTATACGTGTAGCACATGCTAATGCGAAGTTGTTGTACACTGCATTTGTGTGTATATACTGCTCACAGTACTGTATGTTGTGTTGCATGTGTGTGTAGGTTTGGAGTCAGTCAGAGTCTCAAGATATTACCTCACAGAGGGAAACTTGTCACCCACAGCAGAGACTGCACGGTCAGTGATTTATACATGTACATGGCTGTACTGCTATGGTTGTATACTGCTGTCTGTCTTGTGTATACTGCACATGTACATAGGCCTAGTTTTGCCAAGTTTTTTTAGGGACATACAGTAGAAGTCAAAAAAACGTTTCCAAAATCGTTCACCGTTCAACCGTTGAACGGCGTTCACCGTTCACTGTTTATCCGTTTCCGACGGAACGGCGTTTCACCGTTCATCCGTTGACCGTTCGTGTTCGCGGCTACGCAACCCGCGATGCGCGCTAAAAGCTATCGACGAATTCACCACGGCGGAAGTCTAGCACCGAAATCGACGGTTACTTTTGGCAACTTTTGATGCCGTGGCCTTTGCCAAGGCTTAGGCTGTGGTAAAAGCGCGCCTCGCTACTTCAGGATGGCGTACGGCCCGTAACTAGAAAAAGTGGGAGTGGCACACGCGCGGATAATTGTCGAACGGTCTGAACGGTGAACGGCGTTTCTCCGTTTCCGTTTTCCGTTTCTCCGTTCGAACGCCGTTCAACGGTTGAACGGTGAACGATTTTGGAAACGTTTTTTTGACTTCTACTGTACCAAACATACCAAGCTCCAATCATGCATCTTTTGAGTATGTACTATAATTATACATGATATGTGACTCTCGTCTTTCGACTTATGATCATGCAGGATGCAGCATGAAATAGATCAGTGTAAATGAGATGTGTGTGTGTGTGTGTGTTAGTATTAATAGTGACTGCATTTGGTTCAGTTTGCTACACATTGATGCAATAGATTCACAAAGAGGTAACCTCTCTATCCTTGGTCTGTTGTAATAAGTATGTATGCACGTGTCTATATGCATTTATGATGCTTAAAAAGTGTACTAAACCTCCTCTCTCTCCACCATTGTGTCTCCGTGTTTGTTGTACACAGCTATGCTATGTGAGCAGCGAGGAGTATGGGAGGATCCTGGTCCAGGGAGAGGAGAACATGAAGAGAGTGGAGGAGGACGGGAGGTTGGTGGCCGTCCTGGAGAAGAGGTCCATCAATGCCCACAGAGAAGGCTACTTCATTGTCCAGGTAGACTGTGTGTTGTGTTGAAGATTTGAACTCCTACCAGCTGAGTTGCCCTGGTAGATCCAGCCCTCGCATAGAAAGCTGTTGTGGGTTGAACCTCACTGTAGCGCAGCACTTCTTTTTTACAAAACCCTCGGAACTGTTCTCGGTGTAGTTGATTTGTTTTGCTTTCCGTTTGCCGTGCTACCTGGTTGCTTGTCTCGTGCTCTAGGTCAGCTGTTTACTGCCTACAGTTTTATTCCACATACACAAGTGTATACTTGATTAATTAATTACGTGGGCGTTTACTTTTAAGAACCATTCCACTTTGACAATTTTAGCGCATATCTACGAATCTTATAGTACGTGTATGTGTATGCTTCCTTTGAGAGAAGCTATAGCATCCGCCTTCCTTCCCTCATACGTAGGCCACCCCACAACATCTGATAGACAATCTGTTAGTGGAGTCAGTGGACGACGGTTTCCACAAGGATTTCCTACTCACCTATCGGACCTTCCTGGACTCCCCTCAACGCATCCTCACCAAACTGAAGGAGGCGTGGCAAGAGGCCCTCCCTGACCTCAGAGACCGCGTGAGTCACCCATAACCCACTAAAGGGAATGTGGCAATAGTGTAAAGGCTTGATTTAGAAACTGTTACTCCACTGGGTCTATTGTTTAGTTCCTTCTTTAGTAACACCATTTCGTAATCAATAGCCCTGATGTACAAGTACATACTGTTGCATATGGGATATATACTATAATACTGAAACTGTACAATGTAGTCAAGGGAGAGTACAGTTCTTGGTGCACTGCATGATCATACCAGTTCAATATGCCTGAGGGACGGAGCCTATTCACATTCTCTGTAGAATGTGTTTGTCATCACAGAGTGTCGTGGATTCGAATCCCACCCCGGGCAGCTCTTCTTCCTTTCTTTGAAAAGAAAGAGCTGTCCTGGGTGTAGTTGACTTGTTTGCCTTGCCTTTCTATGTACCTCGCTACCAAGTTGTTGAGACATCAATATGTTACCAAGTCAATCATAAATATGATATATACTTGCCATGAAAGGTTTTTCAAGTATTTTTGTCGGTTTATTATTATTCACTGTCTTTCTTCTCCTCCTCCTCCCTCCCCTCCCTCCTCCCCTCCACTCCTCCCCCGCTCCTCCCTCCCCTCCCCTCCCCCAGATCACAGTGATCCTCCTCAACTGGGTCAGCTCTCATTTCCCAGATTTCGAGGGTCATGACTACATGACAGAGTTCCTGGAGTGGTTTGAGGCCGTTCTACTGGAGGATGTGAGTCACCCTCTCTTCTGTATATACCCACCATTGCCTTTTACGTAATGTAGCGTAATGGGGTTGATCTCTCATAATATGCTGATGTTAACTGGTTGTAGAAACTGGTTTCCAGACTCTTTACATAATCTATAGAAACTAAAGGAGGTATAATTAAACAGTATATGAGAAAATTTGATGTAGAAATCGTATGTGTTGTGTATGGTGTGAGTTCTCTGCTTGCAGGGAAAGGTAGCAGAGAAGAGGGCATTGGACAAGTCTCGGTCTCTCCATGCCAGAGTCAGATACATCGAGATGGTCAGTCTGACTATATTCCTCTACACCTTTCATTTCTCCATATGTATGTATACATCACACACACACATATATAGACTGTATACGCACACTTCCCTTATCCCCAAGTCTCCTCAGGGAGCAAAGTGGTTCAATACAACCAAAAGAACCTCTAATGTAACCTTTTAAATCTTGATATCCTATTTCAAGGCCCTCTACATATTAGTATACATGTTCAACAACTGACGGATCTTGTGTACAGTTACAACATACACATTAGTGCATTAAAGTCTTGTTCATCCGTTGTGTGTACAGGATAGAGCCGGGACCAATTCTCCATTGGACTTTGAGGTGGTGGGAGGGTCAGAGTACGGGAGTGAGATCTTTGTGGCTTCAGTCAAGCCAGAGTCCATGCCTGAGGCTGCTGGACTTATGGTGGGAGACCAGGTGAGGCTGTACATACATCATGAGCCACAGTTGAAGGGAAGGTAGTGAAGTAAGGAAGGGAAAAGCCTCATTTCAAGCTGTCACAGAAAACGAGGGGGGCCCTGAGATAATTCCACATAAGTTGTCAACAGGGTCTAGGTTTGCAGTAAAAAAGGTCACAGGCCCCCCTCACCTTTTGTGGGTGGAGCCTGTGAACGAGGCAAGCGGGGACAGTAACAATACAATAGCCATTGATTTGTACATAAGTCTATGCCCAAAAAGTTACTCGTGTCAACTAAAGGCTCCTCATCTTGCAGTGTACAGCCTGTGTAAAATAATGCGAGCAAAATCGTGCGCAGACGGTGACGGCCACAAAATATCGCGCTTTTTACTCACTCAGGTGGGAAGTCACGCCAATTGATGCAGAGTGAGGGTCCGCACATAGTAACTCGTGATGGCTTGCGTGAAATAATGCGCCTATACCTGAGTCTGCGCGTGTTGTTTTACAAGGGATATAAAACCTCCAAAAAAGGACACGTTGGGGGACAGTGTAAGTGTCCATTGTTCTGAGGCATTCCTCGGTTTCAAATTACATTTATGTAGCTTTGTCCTTTATTGAGGGTCCTTTTTCGGAGGTTCAATTCTAATGTATATATCTACACGTATGTATATACAGCATGTGTATGATTAGCTGTGCTCCGTTGACTCCAGATGATGGAGATAAATGACGTCAGATGCTCCAAAAAGGACTTAAAACAGGTCCAGTCCATTCTGAAGAAGAACTTTAAACTCTCCCTCAAAGTTCGCTCCAACCTACCAGGTGCGTACTACAAGTTTATCTGACCTTTCAGTAAACATGCTGAACTTCATTGCAGAGTTCAAGAACTTTATGGCAGATCCTCCTCAGCCGAAGCCAGTAGAGGTATATGCGTACATAATCAGCAGAACTCACGCACTATTACTCACTACTATTTTCATAGAGATGTTTTAAGTAGATATTTAGTCACTCCATGGTCTCCATTTGGTATATGTTACCCCAGCAGCGGAGTGTTAAGATATCTGCCTGTAGTAACACCAATAGGCCTGAGCCCAATCTTGCTCGATCTTTCCCCTGTTTTTCATTATAAACTGCCTACTTTGCCCACAATGTTGCCTATTTTCCCACTACTCAGATGAAACTCAGGTGAACTTCATAATACAAAAAAACGTATCGAAAATTGTATTGTAACATAAAAGAATAGTCATTTAGAGAGCATTCTTGCCTTTCAGTGAAGGTGTTCAATAGTGAAAAGACCTGCTCAGAAGCAGCTGATGGTGGCTGTACTAATAATACCTTGCGAGCTGTGTAGCCGGGCCGCGCTTAGCTTAGCGCAACGCATGCGTCAGCCAGCCAGGCTCGTCCATTTTTCCGGCATTATGCTCGCTGCCGCGGCGCGATTTCCTCGTAGTTGCCCAGAAGGCGAGGTAAGTCGAGCAAAGACAGATGCCGAGCAACGCAGCGACAGCATACATGAAGTCCATTATCCAGCATTGATAAAACTAAAAACTACGAAAGCCCATGTAAAATATGCACACATATATAGACTATCTGCGCCACAGATAGGCAAGGCCTACAGAGTCACTCCCTAATCAACACCCACTTTGCTTTCTTTATAGGGAATCCAGACATTGCGCTGGAGAAACATATACCAAGTAGGTTTGATCATGGCAAGTATGCTCTATTAGTGCTGCGAGCTCACTTGCATCTCTACCGCCCACTAAGATGTGTATTATGCAGACTGACATTACCTGTTATGTCATTAATAATCCCATGTGTGAACCAGAAATAGAGGAATAGTTTAGTAATGTAAGCATGTAAGCGTAGTGATATGCATCTTCACAGAATAAAGATTCAGTGGTGCACATGCTATACATGTAGAGCCTCGTTTTTTTTTGGATACACAAACTTTTGTATTACACATTCACACCACGTGAATAGCTATTTTCGTAGAAGTGCTGTGTTCTAAAGTTATGGTGTGAAAGCCAAGTGAACAAGCCAATATGGTAATTAGCACTGGGCTTACCTAGTCGACCGGGTCCGCTGGCTCTGTGTACCTCGGAGGCACAAGAAGCCACGACGAATGGCGTGTATCGACTCCCTCATGCTATCTACTACTGTAACTAGCCCGTGTCAGACTCTCCACGAGCTACTAGCTGGAGATCACAAGTAAACGCATGCTAATAGGGCCCAGCCCATCAATTAGCAGTACCGTCGTGCATGCGCAGTTTGCCGAGGGTTTGCACTTTAGTGCTTTTCATATTCTGTGAAATACATACCACCTCACCTGTGGAATGTGTGGTTGACTGTGGGTGTAACTCTGGTGCACCCTCCATGCAGCACCGAGTCCCGAGGGCACCGCATGTCCCGCTCATCCCGATGACGAGGACCAAATCAGACCACCACCCGGACCACGACGTCCGCTCTCGATCCCGGACACAGTCCGCCTCCTCCCCGTTCCGTGTCAGACCTATTGGAGGTGGGTGCACCTCATAGTGAGGTAACTACTGCTGTGTGTATGTGCGATGTGTGCTGACTTGACGCATATGTATGAGTACATATGTATGTTTGGATTCAAAAGGTTTTCTTTGTTACTCATTCTGCAGCCCCACCTTCTCCGAAAACAAAGACAAAGCAGACACCGGTACCCATCTTTATCTTGGTTGTGTTATATGTGTATATATACCTGTTCTTGTTCATTACCCCATTGACTAATCATGTTGCATGTGTACTGTATCTGCAGAAGATCTTCAAGCCTCTGGCAATAGTAGGGAAGGCTCCGTTTCAGAAGCTGAGAAGATTACGAAGCAGGTGAACCACTAGAGTCTTTCATATTCAACAGTAGCCTAGATTACCTGCAGAGTTTGTACAAGTTAGAACTTGTTCAACAGTTTAGTCCATTCTCTCACTGTACCTTACCTAACCCGTATGTGTTATATCTCTGTCCGTGTGTGTGTGTGTGTTAGACCCAACACGAGCTCCACATCGTTGGACAGTGATGGAGGACTAGGTGGCCCTCTCAAGGCAAAGCCCATGATCAAAACAGTACGTACACGTTGTGATACAATAGTGTAATCCATTACGTACATGTATGATTTTTCTTGCTTCTCTGACATTTCTCTGCTTGTGATTAGTTTGTGTGCTACATAAAACAGTACATACTAGAATGGATGCCACACATTTTTGGTGAGTTAGCGCGAGCATTCCACGTTCTGAATGACGCTCAATCTTTCCGGCATATTAAGAATCACGTAGAACATTATCAGTGTAGTCTCTGTCACTTACAAAATTAAATGCTGATCATAATTGGAAGTCAGCTCTGCAGTGTCTCTGTGTAATAATTGGGGAGCGAAATGGGTCCACCCTGTCGTCTAAATTGCATGATTATCATGTATCAAATGCACTGCAGATACCGTAATTCTATGTTTAGTTCGTGAAAGAATGAACTAATCATGTTCACTCACCATTGTGTTACATCAATGTGACACTGTGACTATTCAGGCGAGGAAGTTGTCGTCAGAGAACCTGGCAGGGGTAGGAGGAGGGAAGGAGAGCCCCGTTGGGCCAGGTCCTGTACGAGCCACCTCCCTGGAGGACATCCCCTCCTTTCGCCTCCCACTCTGGCTCCCGCTCAGTCCCCTCCCAGAGGATCGTGGACGCCGTTGTGAAACTCTACGTCCCTGACCACACCTACAAGTACCTCGACATTTCCCCTGTGAGTGTTTACCCCTGTAATTAATGGTAATTAGTGGGAGAATGTTGTTTGTGGGAGAAGCCTTCCAATCATGAACATAGGCCTAAAGCTATACCTTCAAATGCAGACACGTTACATCTATATCACCATAGAGTATGAGTCTAATGTCAACACTAGTAGAAGGGTATGGTGGAGACATACATGCAGCTGCATAAGTGTATAATACTGCTGAGGGACACACTGGATACAGAAGAATGGATAATAGATAGTTGGGTAGAGAATAGCATGTAAGCAGGTCTGGGTATAGTTAATAGTGAGGTTCATTGGGTAGAGATGTGTAGACCCCTGCATATTGTCTTTGTAAGAGTTGCTTGTGTGACGAGCCACCTCTCTGACTGTAACCTTGCCTGTGTTTGTGTCCATAGTCAACCACCATAGCTGAGTTGGTAGCCAGAGGAGTCAAGGAATTCTATCCTGAAAAGTTCTCCATCTCACCACCAGAGTGAGTTGGACGCTAATATGTAGCTCACTGAAACAGTACATGCCCACTCAGGGCAACTCTTCTTCTTTACTTTGAAAGAAAGAGCTGTCCTGGGTGTAGTTGACTTGTTTGCCTTGCCTTGCCTTTCTACCTCGTTACCAAGTTGTTGAGACATGCTGCTATATATTGATGTATATGGTCTATCATCACAGCGCATGTATTGATGGAGTACATAGCTTGTGGACTCTTAACCTATCATGCTTATAGTCTACAATCACCTTGTCTTGTACTGATTTCTCTTTTCCCTCCCCCCTCCCCCACATCTCCACATGTTCCCAGTGAGTACTGTGTGTGTATGGTGACAGTACAGAGCAGGAACGGCCCCATCAGAAACTCTGTCCTCCCCAATCACATGTCGGACCTAGCCAACTTCATCGGACTGGAGAGCAGGTTTGTGCAACCAAACTACACAGGTTGCAACAATCACATACAGCCATTAATCGATGTACCACAGCATGATAGAGCAGTGGTTGTCACTAGATGCAGTTGATTGTCGTGAACCGGAAGCCAGGGACATGAGTTTTTTTTTCAATTGCTAGAATTTGTTTGAAACATACAGTGTAGTAGCTAGCTGTGTAAATTATTTGGTACTGGCAAGCCCATATGTCTCAGTCCTCAACTCTACACAAAAAGAACTGTTTGTTACAAGTTTCTCCTATTACAATTTTGCCTCTTGCCTTTGGTAAATATTGTACCTGATTCATTGTAAATGCCAACGTACAGGCACCAGGAGTAATTCCCCTATTCCAAGCTATATTATGCGTAATATACATCTTGAGGCCATTAAGGTTTAGTATTTTAATCTGCCACACTCTTGTCTGACAATTTGCAGGTATTATTTGAAGGAGAGACAATTCCATGGCACCTTAGTTCAAGATGAAGAGGCAGATGTACGTACACACCATAGTCTTTTACAGTCTGTACATTGTACATTCTTAAAGCAAACACTATTGTATTGTAGCAATATTACGTGTTTGTGTTTGGTGCATGTGTGTCTGCAGCACATATTCCGTGAGAGCAAACAGTGGGAATCACTTCTCAACCTCACCCCCAAACAAGTGGCTGAGGAGCTCACTAAAGTGGTACGACAAAAGAAAAGTTTATATACAGTATACAATATTATTGGCGAGCAAAGCGACCCCTCCTAGTCGTCTGAATGTGGGGTTTTCCCCTATACAATAATAATACATACATACTGGGACTGTTTGCTTCGCTCGTCAAAATGCGTTGCATTCCTCTAGTACTATGCTCAGACGTACTGTGTAATAATCGTTTCCCCCTCCTCCTCCCCACCCCTCCCTCTCCCCTCTCCCTCCCTGTGTGTCCAGGACTCTGAGATATTCTGCAGTATTGACTCCAGTGAGTACATCGCTGACCTCTGGCGAAACCCTAATCACTTAACCAAAGAAAACCTACAGAGATTCGAAGGAGTAAGTCATTGACTCGCGTTGCTAATGTTTTTAGTGATGGTGTGTGCGTGTGTGCAGAAACCAGCCATTCAAGTTTGACTAATGTGTCTCCATATGAGCCTGTAAACTCATTGATCTTTCTTAGCCATTAAAGTTGTGTTGTTTTGTTTTAAAAGCCCAAACGTACACATTAATCCAAAAATGCCCTGTTGTTTCTGCATAGTTCACATTATAAAGTTGCAGGTAACAACTTATTATCGTTTGCTTTTTTGCTGTTAGTCTGTTTGTCCATGTCCCTGTTGTTAGATCCCTAACAATGAGATGTACTGGGTGGTGACGACAGTTGTCTCAGAGACCAAGGCTGACCTGAGAGCAAAAATCATCAAACAGTACATCAAGATAGCAAGTGAGCTCAGCCCCACTGTGGTCCAATTCGTAGGACACTGAGATTTTGTATAATTATCATTAAGTGTTAGGATTGATTTGACTGTGTCCTTATTTTGTCATTCAGAATGGTGTAGAGAACTGAAGAATTACAACACAATGTTTCACATCATCAGGTCAGCTTCCCCTCTAGCTGTTCCTCCACATGAGAAATTAGTGTACATGTATGTATGCTATGAGTTAGGAATAGACTTTAGGATACAAAAGACACCATTTAGTGCACAAATTGATGCTCACTTAGAACTGTGTTCCAAGTTTCATAGTTTGACGTATTGATGCAACAGTAAATTGTACCATTTTGGCATCACGTCTGTTCTTCCACATCCATCTTTGTGTCTTGTGATGGTACACCTCGGGTACTAACTGCTCTTATATTTTGCCCGAATGTGGGGATTGAATTTGACGATTACACTGTCACTGTGTGTGTGTTAGTGATACGTGATGAATGTATCCATGAAGTGATGAATGTATCCATGTTGTGTGAGGATGATTGATGTTGCTTGCAGTGGTCTGAACCATGGTCTTGTCCAGAGACTGAGGTCTACATGGGAGAGAGTTCCTCACAAACACAAGAGAGCCATGGAGGTCAGGGGTTAACACGTGGTATAGCCTGCACACCATCGACATCTGTGAAGAATACATATTTGTCTCTTTGCAGTGAAAACAATGTAGTGTGGCATGATCAAGGGGCACACCTACTATAATTTGCCATAACTCAGAGTTGCATACTGCACCGATTTTTCTACGTATGAGGAGGGGGAAACCCCACACACATGCCCTCCCAACACTGTTAACTGCATAATGTGTGTATTGCAGGACCTGGTGGGTTACATGAACCCATTCCACAACATGGACAACAAGTACCGAGAGCTCCAGCGAGCAACCCACACCTCCTTCATCCCTCTCTGTCACATCATCAAGAAAGACCTCACCTTTCTCTTTGACGGGAACGAGACACGGGTCGACGGCCTCGTCAACTTTGAGAAACTGAGGATGCTGTCTCAGCAAATCAGGAACATCAGGAAGTTCTGCGAGAACCCCATCATGGTCAGTGATTACAGGGCCACTGTACATGCACAGCGAGGGTTGTACTTGCTCTGTGTGTGTTGGTGCATTTTCACTTTTTGTGCTTTTCGTTCATATTTTCAAACGTGGGTGTGTGAAGGCGAAAAGCGAAAGAGGGAGGGGGGAAAGAGAACGACAGCGAAAAAATGGCCATAAAGACGAGCAAAAAGACAGAGGGAAGGTGCGGGAACAAAGAAGAAAAGCCAAGCAGCACGACCAAAGTAGTAGGCCAACGCTCACTACGCGACACACACGCTCCTCTCCCTCCCTACTCTCTTTCCTTTGGTGCACCACTCCCTCCCTCCCTCCCTCTCCCTCCAAGCCGGAGCCCCCTGAGATAGACCTGGGTCAACTGGGGGTGTTGAAGAGCATCCACCACTCCATCAGACTGCGCAGCAGACATCCGACTGCCCTAGCCACTCTCACTGAGAATGCCCTCAAGAAAGTCTACTCCCATGTGAGCTCCTATGGTTGCCAAGCTAGTGTACATGCAATTAGAGAATTGAATGCAGGTGTTTTCAACAGGGCAAAATTGTCGTTTCCGAATTCTTAGAACTTCAACATGAAACGGATGTTATGTTCCACGGGCGCGCATGCTAAAAACGAGTTTAGGCAACGAAAATCTTAGTTGGGTACTTGGTAAGAAAATTTAACAGATGGAAAGTAGCACTGAGGTCTGAGCAGCATAAATAGCTACCTACAGTATGTCCCTAGAGTGAGCTTTATTCAGTTAGTTTACATGATAGCACAAAACATCCATACTGATGTGTGCTGGTGTTCCACTCTCCCTCCTCTCGGTATCAGCACCGGATGACCAAGATGGTGAGGAAGCATCTGGGCAAGAAACACGTCATTCTGGAAGAAGACCTCCTGGAGAAGATTGCTGACAGCACCGACAAAAGTGAGACCCTCTCTTCTGTACTTGTATTGTGGTTGATATCTTAGCAGGGTTTTTTTTCTAGGGGAGGGGGCAAGGGGGGAATAGCCTTACCCCCATGAAATATGGCAATATAATTAACTGAGAGCAGTTTCATCTTGTACTGCCTATGTTTCTCAAACAAAACACAATTGTTTTATTATTTGCCTATGATCCTTTTATTCATTGTTTGACTGTATCTCTCCTCTGCCTCCCGTCTGTCTGTGTGTCCAGTTGTTCAGTTGAGAAAGAACCCCCCAAGTCCTCTCAACAGAGGCAAGAGGATATCTGGCACCAAAGAAAAGTTCCGGAAGTCTGGTAAAAAATTTTTTACATGCTCACCACAATCCCATAGTCTTCCTATGCAATTCTGTATTGTTTGTTATGGACATATTATGTTTGTTGATATTGCAGGGAGCTCTATAGTTGGTCCTCCCATCTCTCCTTCCCCTACCACTGGCTCCTTTGGATCAGGTCTGACTATAGCAAACTTTCTACAATGTTCACTTATATACATAGCATGGATATTACGCCAATTGTCATTTTCCCTGTACGTGTTATTACAACAGATCAGAAATATCTTATCATTCAAAGTCAAACACGGCTTTCACTCCTTCCTGTGGGCTACACAATTTACGCTTATCAATCACCTCAAGCACTCTACCTACAGAGTGAACCTATCAGCTTATCACTGTATACTCTCTGTGTGTATTGGTACAGATACGGGAGTGCCAATAGATCTTCCAGGTGACAGTAGTCCTCCCATAACTCCTCGGAGAAAACTCTCTCTTCCTAACACTCCTCCTTCAGGTATTTTATAATAGCTACGTGTATGATATCCCCAAAAGTAGCACTCTTGTATATATAGGCTCAAAACTCTTCCTAACACTCTTTCAGCAATATAATATATAGCTGTAAGACTACTTCGAGGTATGTATAGCCTAAAAGTACATTACACTGTAGCTATCTCTGGCTAGGCTCCCCTCAATAAAACTGGTATTTTCTTTGTAAAGGGTGTGGCTGGGCTTAGGGTTAGAAATCAGGGATGTTGATGTAAACGGCTGTTAGTTGACATGTGTAATCACATGTGTAGAGCTAGCTGGACCGCAATTAGCCCCCTAGCAAAAGATTTAGATGGTCCCAATAACAGGACTACTATTTTTAGGGTCAGGTGTCCCTGGGACGCATATTCAGGTGGACAAATGAGGACATAGAGGTACTATATATGTTCCCCTGGTGTGCTCTGGTGCCAGCCCTGCATGAAAAATATCCTAGGCTTTCCCTTTTATATTGGAGCAAGGACTGTAACTACATCACACCTCTAGCATTATGTCACAGTCCGTAATTCTCTATGTCTGTATAATTATAGCAGTTCCAGCTGAAGATGGTACAGCAAGTCCTTCTGTCTCTCCTGAATCACTCAACTGTAAGTCTGTGTGGCTACTGTCTCATGCTGTTCACCACATGTGATCTTCATCACATTTTATGCAGCTTATGCTAATGCAAATGGAACTGCACAATGTCCTCAGTAAGTTGAATATTATATTCTGGGAGCTCCTATTCTTTTTTCCTTGGAAAAATTAGCTGTCCTGAGTGTAGTTGACTTGTTTGCTTTGCCTTTGCCTTGCTACCTCGTTGTTGACACATGCCTTGTTAGGTATTATAATAATTCCAAGGTAATTCCATGGGGAGAAACACAAGTTATAAGGTGCAGCTGCTTGCCTGCATGTATAATTATACAAAGACCACCCATCAAAATTGTCGCTAGAGAAATCGATTCGACTGATGCACGAATAAAGAACCAGAGAACTGGAAAGTCAGGGCGGGCTGCCATAACAATGCACAGTTAATGTTGACAGAAGCTATGTTTAGAACATACTTTAATCGTCATTTCTCTCTATGTTTAGGTGACACACCCCAGCCTGTTCTGCAGGCTCCCTGATTTCTCGTGTTGTGTGTGGTTTGTTGCTACTGAGACTGTCCTATTGTGACACTATCTGTCGTCGATTTTTACTAGAAATTGTATTAGTGTCTTTATGCACATTATAATGATCACGCATCATACTTCTGTTGTTATGTTATTGCATCAGCTCTATTATTTGTGTGTGTGACTCTCTGTAACTGGTTGTGTGTGTGAATATTATGGTTGTTGGCATCTGATCACGGATACTAGTTGGGGTCTTTTCATCGCGTCTACGGTGAGGGGTGTCATCATACTGAGCCGAATAATAATTATAATGCCAAAGAGGCCTATAGGGATTAAGATTATCCCACATACTTTATACTTACCCTTTTTGAATCTTTGCATATATGAGGAATGCAACGCACTTTGGCTCCCACCCAGAGAGGCAGTGATAGAATACTGAGTCCCCTCCTCCAGACCAGTCAGTGTGTATGATGTCCCACTAGCAGGGATACCACGGCTGGAGTCAGAGAAACAGTCAGTGTTGATGTTTGAGTAGGAGACGGTGTATGAGGTAGCAGTATGATTCTGGTCCAGTCTCCATGAGATGGTAAGGGAGGTAGGGGATGAGGGGACGGCTAACACAATGAGGTCATCTGTACATGATAGATGTGCTAATTGGTACGGTCAGCTTTCCACAGTGGAGGCATAAAAATCGTTAAACAAACACCAAGTGCAGTTTCATTCTAAACGATACCGCCAGTTAGCCAGTGCTATTGACACAACATCAATGAAAAAGCACTAAAGTGCACACCCTCAGTGGGTGAACTGTGCACTGCTAATTGATGGTTTTTGGGTTTGAGACATAAAGCAAAGCACACACAACCAAACAAAACAAAACAGCACAATGAGCTGGGCGTTTACTAGTGTGGTCTCCCGCTAGTGTGCGGAGAGCCTGACACGGGCTAGCGAAAGCACAGCATGCGGGAGTCGATACACATCCTTTGTTGTGATTTCTTGTGATACATATATACGGTCGGGGTAAGCCAGTGCTTATTTGCATTATTGGCTTGCTTTTCACGCCATAAGTTTAGAATGCAGTACTTTTACGAAAATCGCCATAAATTATTAAAAATCAAGCAATAGAAATTAACCTGTTGGCTATTTTGTTGTCTAGCTGCGCGTGGTGGCAGAAACTGTGCTAGCAGATGGGTGGACAGGGCAGACAGAGTTAAAATGGCACTTTCAGCATGTGCCACATACGTACTAATCATGTGTGTGACATAGGCACAGGGCCTGCTTTCTTTTCTCACATGCGCTAAAAGTATAATTGGTTTTTTCAACTTTGGACATTGTATATACAACATCTGATGCCTGACTATATAGTGCACGAGGTGCGCAATATAAGCCATGTTCATTAGCAATTGGCTTGTTTGCTAGTTGTGTTTCAGACCATAAGGTTTGAATGCACCATACCCACACGAAAACACTTTTCTGCAGTTTATTTTTTGCTATGGCAGAGGGTGGTAGCTAACAGGCACGCAGAGACAGACTAACATGTCGTGTGTTTCCTTAGAGGCTATTATTATTCCATGGATGTATACACTTCAATGGTTTCTTTGTCTTGTAGAAACTAGAAGCGTTGCTGTGTACACAAGGAAAATTGCATAGGAGAGAGCTTTTACAATTTATGTTTCAACAAAAAACCATGAAAGTTTTCTCCAAAAACACTTGTGGGTGAGGAGCGTTCTTTACGGTGGGTCAAAATTTACTAAAGTTCTTTTACCTTTAAAAGGTCCCTCCTAAGAAGATTGGACATACATAAGAGGATAAACCTGCATTATGAACACCAACTTTAGTATACATACCTGTCACAGTGACACTAGTTGAATCAGAGGATGGCTTGTCATTGGACACAGTGCAGGTGAACTCTCCTGCAGTAGTCACAGTCAGAGTGTGGGTGTACTGTGCAGTGACAGGGTCATTCAACACAGTCTGGGTTCCTTGGGTGACGGTGGTGGAGTCTCTGGTCCAAGTGACAGTGGTAGCAGGTCCACCAGTGGAGATACAGGCCAGGGTGAACTGAGGACTGGCTCCATTATGATCAAATGTCACCATCAGTACTGCTATGGAGACAGCTCCTATATTATATGGGTTTTAATGTAGTATTTTTGCCACACAAACTTTCAACATGTTGCAACAATGCCACAAACACGAGCAAGCAATAGCTGTATTTGCCACAAGCATGCTCATACCTCCAGTGTCTGTGTAAATTCCAACATACACTGCATCTCTCACTCAGATGTCAGTATCATCATGGACAGCAATAGTTGCAATATCACAGCGATAGATACCAGTTGGCGAGGAAGCATTGTTCATACGACGTAGGTCAACTCTCTGATCAAAACGAATCTCATAGATATCATCACCATCTCCATTGAATGGCAGCCTATCTCCATCAGGAAAATACCAGTCTCCAAGATGGGTGCCCTGACTACTAGTACAACATGTGTTCAGGTCAGTGATACACTGAACACTGTCACTGCCATTCTGTTCACTGCCCACTTGACTGAGGTCCACATAGGAATGGTTGGCAAGTGTCTGGTTACTGAAGGAGACATAAGGAGCAGTCTGAGAGTGGACGACCTCCACCAGAGACCAGAGAAGACTCAACATCAATATTATAATATGGAACATCATTCTGTTCTCTCTCGATGGGACGCTCTTTGCACTTGTTGCGTAGTACTAACAAGCGGAGCACTATACCTATTATACGCATGCGCAAATCGTGATTGGTCTCTCGGCTAGCATTCCGCCCAGACGCCCTCCCAGACGCCCTCCCGTTGCAGCCTCTAGGCTGAATACGGTCGAGGGTAAACGCATAATAATTGGCTTGTGGTTATCACACCGCGTTTGTTGCGCGGTAGGAACCAACGGAGCATGCGCACGCGACCCGCGATGGCTGCCTCTGGCGAGCATGCACGACGTGTTTTTTAAGGTGCTACTATTGGTCTGCTATCCATATTACTATGTCATATATACTAAACTATACCCCCGAACGTGTCACAACACGCGTCCTGCCTCCTCTGTCCCTCCTCATTGGTCACTGACCTGAACTTGTGTGGGAACATCAACTACTACTTTAATTCTCTACCACCTTGTTATGGAGTGACAATACTGTCCTTCTGTACGTATATCTAACCACTTTCCCTTGTCAAGACGTAATGATGAAAAAGGATCACCAATTACCTTACTTTACCACTTTCTCTGTCGACCTCTGTTGCTTACCACCCATGACTTAAAATACTACCTTTCAAGGACATGATATTGAGCACGGGGTGACATTCAACTGCCATGCCTCCTTTTTTTCAAGTACAGTGAAATCTCCTGACTTGTGTGACCTATGGCTCTGCAACTTGGCAATGTCCTTGCATTCCTCAGCTGATTAGCTAAGTGGGTACCAAGTTGCAGTCACACAAGTCGGGAGATTATTTTTTCACTATCCTTGAAAAAAGGAGGCATGGCAGAGTGTTCAAAGACCAAGCCCCCTTTGTGTTGTTCTTATGGAAGTCCCTAAGGACGAAATGCCACCCCATGCTCAATATCATGTCCTTGAAAGGCAGTATTGAATAAATTTTTAAAGGAATGGCGACCAGTTGTGGGTGGGACCCCCCTTAATATTATTCCATTCCTGAGTATACGTACCTGAGTGACATCACATCTGACTTATATATACCACCCACTGCAACTTAGCCTAATCTCCATGTACCACCTTGCAATGCCCCATATCTCCTCTAACTGCATTAACTACCCTAAATGGGAGTGTACCCACGTTCTCTAGAATTGCTAGACTGGACCTGTGGACTGGACTTAGTGGACTTGCAAATGGCCCTGCATAACCCTTCGTGTATTCTGGACCTTCAATGTTTCTGGAAGGGCTGTGGACCTTACACAAGCCTGTAGAGACCTCAAGATGGATCATTATCAGAGTGGGCCTTGTGCATAACCTGTACTCTGAAGGAATTTTTGAATGCTAGCTTTATTCAGTCTGGCAGGTCACTGCTTTTTTCATTGTGGAAAGTGCTATGGAAGTGCCCGTTCCACTTTGCCACCATGCCACACGTACTATATAGACTGTAAGTGAGCGACTAGACACATGCATATTATACATACCTATCTACATCAGTCATACTACTGTGTACTTTCTGCATTCACTGGCCGAAAAACGTGCGGAAGCTGGCTCCATTGTATGACCGCATTGCACACATGCATTATTCATTTAATCAGTATTAACTAGTTGTCACTCACCATTCTCACTCACCGTGAAGATGATCCCGGTATAAGGGTCGAAATGTTCGTGTAAAAGGATATTTTTGGCTAGAGTGTTTCTATTATGGTGGGTATATATACTCTCTACTGATCATGACGTACAATGATAAGTGTTCAAATTTGGAAAGACGCCCCAGACAATTAAAATACTTGTGAATGGTGCTTGTGAATGTTTTAGTGATGGTGTGTGTGTGTGTGCAGAAACCAGCCATTCAAGTTTGACTAATGTGTCTCCATATGAGCCTGTTAACTCATTGGTCTTTCTTAGCCATTAACGTTGTATTCTTTGTTTTAAAAGCCCAAACGTACACATTAATAAAAAAAGCCCTTGTTGTTTCTGCATAGTTCACATTATAAATATGCAGGTAACAACTTATTATCATTGCCTTTGCTGTTAGTATTGCTGTTCGTCCATGTCCCTGTTGTTAGATCCCTAACAATGAGATGTACTGGGTGGTGACGACAGTTGTCTCAGAGACCAAGGCTGACCTGAGAGCAAAAATCATCAAACAGTACATCAAGATAGTAAGTGAGCTCAGCCCCACTGTGGTGCAATTTGTAGGGCACTGGATTTTATCATAGACAGTATAATGTGTTAGCGTTAAGATTAGTTTTGACTGTGTCCATATTTGTGTCATTCAGAATGGTGTAGAGAACTGAAGAATTACAGCACAATGTTTCACATCATCAGGTCAGCTTCCCCTCTAGCTGTTCCTCCACATGAGTAATTAGTGTACATGTATGTATGCTATGAGTTAGGAATAGACTTTAGGATACAAAAGACACCATTTAGTGCGCGAATTGATGCTCACTTAGAACTGTGTTCCAAGTTTCATACTTTGACGTATTAATGCAACAGTAAATTGCACCATTTTGGCATCACGTCTGTTCTTCCACGTCATCTTTGTGTCTTGTGATG